TTTGACATCAATGAAGTAATATATTGGAAACAATCCATTGCATTCTTGCCAAGTAGCAAACAAAGTACAGGACTTGCAAATTTAATTTACTGAACTATGATACCACCACTGAAAAGTAATCTGGAGCCCTAACCATTCTTAAATCTTTCTGCCCTGCAGCACTGTGGTTGCATCAAGAAACATTGTAGTTGCTTGTTTCAGGCATTAACTATCCAGGGATTTCTTTATGTATTCCATATTCTGTTTTTTCTGTGTGGAAGGTTTTTATTGTTTATCTAAAACATTTAAATATACAAAGTTGTAATTTCTTACCTGTATTTCTTCTGCTGTTTGCCTTTGACTATTTCTGGATTTTTAGACACCAACAAATTTAGCCACTATTTAAAAACTGCTCTCAGATGAGACTGTTTTATGAAACTGTAGATTTCCTGTTTTTCTTCACTGACTCAAATATTCAATTGAATGAAATACTGAAAGAAAGAGGCAAAACACCTGTTCTGAGCATAAGGAAAATGAGAGAATCTACACACACATTACTCATTGGTTAGTGTTCTTGGCAAGAATTGTAATCATAGCAAGCAAGCTGGAGATTAGTTTCCGTGATTACTTGATCAGAGTTTTGGGGAAGACAGCTGAAACTGACAGCACAAGGGATAATAATTACCCATTGATGCAGCTGCTTGAAGTGCCTGTGTATCAGGGTGTCAATCTCTTGTTCTGTGAAGAATTGGTTAATATAACATACAAGCTTTAAATGTGGGGCTTGGGGGGGGGGGGAACCTCAAGTACCCCTCATGCTCATGTCCAATGAACAAAATCAACAGTGTCTAAAATTGTTCCCAACAGATACTACTTCTACCTGTCCAAAAGATCTTTCATTGTTTATTTTCAAAAAAGCATTTTGCATTGCCTTTTCTAAGTCTTTTTTGCTACACCTCTTCTTGTCCTCTCTCCAGGGAACTTGGAGAACAGATTCATCCATCATTTTTTCTGTCAGCTTTTAGCTCACGTAAAATCTGTCATTGTCACATCCCTAATCAGTCTTCCTTCCTTTGAACTTCATTACCTTCAGTCTTTCAAAATTACTGCTTTTCTCTACATTTTATCTAGACTTCTATCTCAGAGCTCATCATGTCCAAACCTATTTAAGGCATTAGCAGTGCTGAATTGAGTGGAAAAATTTTTGTGTAGGTGAGTATATATGTGTTACATAGATATGTAAGCAACATGTGCACACCCACATGCACAATTAAACAAGGAATTCAATCTTAGATGGTAGTTTCTGCATTTCTATTCTTTCTTTGTCACAGAATTGCTGAACGGTTTTTATTTTATTTATAAATTCGGATGCTGTACACTTTACTGACATGCTGACTACTCAAAGGGTCTGTGCCGTGTTATTACTAGGCTGGGAGAATAGAAGTGGTTAGAATAAAAGTTTTCTCAGTGGAACTTAGTTGCAACAATATATGTGAGAAATAGCCACAAATCAACTTCCAGGATTGTTGACCAATTCACACTCTTACAACATGAAGACATATGCCTTTTATGCACCTGTAACCTCTCCAAAATGCACACACTGTTTGGCTATCACACATGCTTATTGAATCTTCTGTTGAGGTCTCCTTCTGGTTATTTTAAGCTAAACCAGGAAGTGCAGTGGAACTTTTCACTAGCAGTCTTGGGACTCTTCTGTCATTTCTGAAGCACAGAAGCAAAGGATACAAGCTGTTTTATGCAAAAATAGGGGAGCAATTTACAACTACTGTTTTATATTTGGTTGATGCATTTTTAAAAAGTGTTTCTGGCTGGTATTATCAAACAGTAGGTATTTTCATTAAATAAAACGTTTAATACAAGGCTGTAGATTAGGTAGGATTAAACTTAAATTCTGTCCGTACTAACTAACCTCCTCTCACACTCTCCCCTAACCTTCACTACCCAGCTGTAGTTTCATACCTAACATTTTCAATTGTCTTCTCATTTCTGGATATGGAATATAGTAAATAGCACAGCTTATTCTTAGCGTTCCCTTTGTAGATGAAAACTGATCTTGTATTCTTCCTTTCCTGGCTTTCAGTTGCTGTCTGATTTGGTCAGTTTTGTTGCTATCACCCAGGAACTACTGGATACCCTTTCTAGCCCTCTTCTATCATGTGCAAAATCTAAATTAAGCAGTTGATGGACTTGCCAAGCATTGTAACATTCAATATCAATAGTTACTGTTTACACAATTTATAAGAAGCTGACCAAATGCCCAAGACAGACACAGGGTGTTACATTTTTTTTGGAAACAGCAAAATTTGCAGTTGTCTTTTCAGTTATTTCACCTCAAATCTGTACCTCTTCACAGCTGAAGTCTCAGCTTGTCATGGTTTTGCCCTGGGTCAATTTGCTTTTACACCCTTCACACAATTACCAATCAGTTGAGAGAAGGTTTATGCAGACAAAAGAGACTGGATTGGGGAAAAAAGTATGAGCATTTATTACTAGCACAGTAAAAACTACTAAAGAACTATATCTACAATAATCTTACTTAAGTAAAAGGTGTCATGCATTTACAGAAAATACTCCTCCTCCCCCCCTTTTATATTAGTCCAAGACGAGAAGCAGTTTCCGTCTCCATTCTTGGAGTTCCAACTCTCTCTCCAGTAACTCTGCAGCACCCTCGTTGCAGCTGGAATTCTTTCTCCTTCTCTGTATCGTCCTCCAGGGCTGGGCCTAACCCCTCCTGGGCTAAGACTGAAGGCTGGGGGTTACCCAGGTCCTGAAGGGTCTTGCAAGGGGACACTTGCCTGCCATGGATCTTCTTCCACAGGGTTACAGGCGATAATGGCTTAAGAGTCCACCCCTGTTCCCTATGGAGTCCCTACGCATAGGAGAACAGTCCTTGATAGACCTCTCCAGCATGAGTCTAGCATGGATCCCACTCATGGATCCCAACATCCTTACCCAAGCCGTTTTCTGCTCCAGCGTAAGGCTTTCTCTATTTTTCAAAGTCACAAATTTCCAGCAGCAGCAGCATGGATCTCTCACTGAGATCCCAATGTCCTTACCCGAGCCGTTCTGTGCTCCAGCGTAGGTTTGGTCACAAATCTTCAGCAGCAGTATGGATCCCACATACAGATCCCAGCATCTCATCCGAGCCATCTCGCTTCAGCGTGAGCCTCATCCCCTTCAGGGTCATATTTAGAGTCACAAATCTTCAACAGGTCTCTGCCTTATTTTCAGTCCTTTTCATGAAGTCTCAGCTTCCTCATGCATTAACTTATTCCAGTGTAGGCTTTTCCACAAACAGCATGGGGGTCTTCTCACCCCAACAAACTTCTACAAGGTAGCAGGGATTATTTTTTAGTCTTTAGTCTTTAGCAAGTCATCCAAGCAATTAGTCTTTTTCTAAAGTTTTTTTTCTTCACTCTCTTACAAAAGAAAAGGGGGGCTTCAGTGCTACACTTACCCCTTGGCCCGGGGAGGGAGGGGGCCTTGCCCCCACCTGGGGCTTGCCACCTCTCTCCTACATGGCTGCCTAATTTCAACTGCACAACCAAACCTTCTCTTCCGTTTTTCTTAAATATGTAATTAGCAAAGGCATCACTGAAAGTTTTGATTGGCTTTTTGTCCGGAAACCCACTTGGACAAAACCATCCACAGCCCCAGGGATGGGCTACTGGGCAAAACCACGACACAACTGAAGTCTCAGAGGCAGTTCTATTGCTGCATGTTAAACAGTGCTTCCTAGGAGCCCTCTGAGGAAGGAATTCCTGCTTTACAGCAGGGAAGCTGATGTGTGGCTTAAAAAAGTAGCTGTCAAGTCAATGACAGAACCAGCAACAGATCCCAGGAGCTGTTTCTCACCTGCTCTAACCTTCAGCTCTTTTCTTTAAACCTGTGACCAGTGAGAAGCTTCCTGTCAAACAGCAAATTCATCAATGGGGCTCATTTTCCCCTTTCGAATGGATCTCTGTCATTTCTGTGCTGTCTCATTTGGCACCCATCCCTTCAGGAACAAGCTGTTGTAGCACCAGGCAGGTGCTGAGCATTTCTTACTGTCTAGGACAGCTTTTGGTTGGGTTTCTGAGTGTTAGTGCATAAGTGCTACTTCGTGCTGCTGAATTCTCTAGTTCTGTCATGTATGTTTAGTGTGATTTTCATTAGATTTTGTGGGTATTTTTTGAGTCTGGGAGCTTTGGGCCTGCAACAGCAGCTATCATGTCTGTGTGTTGTGTCATGTGGAATTGTGCTGAAAGCTAGGAATAACCATAAAAAAGCAATTTCCGGAAACTTACGGGCTGAATTGATGCTTGCTGAAAACAATATATTGCATTCAGTGGTGCTGAATCAGACAGAGTTTAACAAAATCTTCACCTGTACAATTTCTGCAGTTATTTCTTCAGTTATTTTGCCTAGTTAAGTGGATTGTACATTCATCAAAGAAAGTTTCACAGCAACAGTTTGATCAAACGTCTATTGAACCTACCAGAATTCTTTCCATTTGATTCCTGGGACAGTATCCATGACTTAATGGTAGATTTCTGTCCAGCACAGTAAACATTTAGAAGGGTAATATACTGTTTAGTCATTAATATAGATAAATTCAGTCATATATTGACTACACATAAATGCAGTTGTCTTGATTGATTAGTATTTTCATGAAATGTCACATAACATGTAAACGTGAATAACAGTTGTACTGGATGCTGAGATATATGTAATGAGTACCTGAATGAGGTACATGTAATTAACTCTTAGAAAAACAAGTCTTCTACCAGAAAATATAGATGATTGCTATCTGTAGTCAGCAGCCAGACGTCATAAGGTCTTTTTGCAGCCCCTAGTAAATCAACTATTTTATTTTCCCAACATATCAGGAGATTAAACTAATTTAAGGGTAGTTCTGATGCCATAATATCTTTGTACTACTACAAGAATAGAAAGCAGTTCCCATCTGGAGCTTTGAATATTAGTGTTATGAGCTGTAACTCTTCAAAACAGACTGTTGAGGGAGAGATTTCCTGGTAAAATATTTAATATTTTCCAATGCCTAAATTTTGTATGGCCCATTTTCTGCTAATGTTTGCCACTGTTTAAAATGGTCTGTGTATTTACATGCCTGTTGCCACAGGGTAAGTATCCTTTGCTTTTTTAAAATCTGATACGTTCCGGGGTTTCAGGTTTAATCACACTGGTGTTCGTTTTCGTAGCACAGGTGCAGCAGTGAACAGCAGTGAAAGCCTCCCTCCATCCTCATCTGTCAATGACATCTCATCCATGTCCACGGATCAAACACTGGCGTCTGACACGGACAGCAGCCTGGAAGCTTCTGCAGGACCTCTCGGTTGTTGCAGGTGACTAGCCGCCTGCCTGCGAAACCCAACGTTCTTCAGAGGATGATATCATTTAGGAGGAAAAAATTAAATGGGAGTTAAGAGATGAAAAGAAAGAGAAATAATAAACACAAAGATTTAAACAAAACAAACAAGCAAAATCTTTTCAGCCTGCTTCTCCTACAGAGTTATGTAACACAGCTAAGCTCAAGTGTATATTTAACTTATAGTTGCTCTGCTTTGGTCTTCTTCCAGTGATGCTTATCAGGGGGGTAAAAAAAAAAAAAGGAATCGAAAAATCATTTTTTTAACCCCCTCCCCACAAGATGTAAAATGAATGGCTGCAAAACCAGCAACCTGCAACTGTCCTTTCCACACTGGCATGACAAGGTGTGCAGTAGCCACTCTTAAACATACGAGTGTGTATCTGCCTTCACTCTCTGTTCTGTTGTCTGCCCAGTGAGGCAGACAGGGATATACTTGCATTTTTCTTCATATAGGAATAGCACATACACACAGGTGCCAAGAGAATTCTGTCAGTGTATGCAGCTGTGTGCCCACAGGAACACACACATCTGCATAAGTACTTAGTGTGCATTCCACAACCATAAATGGCCCATTTCAGGTAAAGTGCATAACTACACATATGTGATATTACCAGTATATATTCTGTTTGTTTGTTCATTGATGAGGTTGCATATCTTGTATGAGGACTTGTGGAAGTGTAAATAACCACATAGAACTGTGTCTCCCTCAGACACTTGAAGATGTAGCACCAAAATTTCTGCTGAGAGTTGTATATATATTTTGAAATAATAAGCAGTTTTACTGAAAGAAGAAGCCACAGAGCTTCATAGAAAAATGTTAGTTTGTGAATGTTAAGACTTGTTGTTCTGATTTTTAGAGCAGATATGCCAAGTTGAGACCAGGTTAAAAGGAAGCACATGTATCTTTGCAAGCTACAGGGAACAAGAATGAAGGGGTTTTTTATGCATGTCTAAGCCCAGAAAGATTTATCTCAGTAAGGAACTTTTCCTGGCACTGTGAGTTATCATCTTAGGTCATAGACAGGCTCGCTATTATGAATTACAGGTATGTTTGTAAGTTAGAGGGCTGGGGAATGAGCAGATTATGATATATGATAATGAAAAGGACCTGCAACAACTTGTTTTTATTTTATGTCTAGGACTTTACTAGGTTAGATAGAGAAAGGATATTTGTGGCCCACTCCCCCTCAGTGTATGTTTGCAGCTTAGAGGTTGTTTAAATCATTCTGTAGCAGGGACCTCTGCTACTAAGAGAACAGGCCTTCTCTAGGTGTTTTTGGCTGTTCATTTGCTCGTGACAAATCATCAGACTCCCCAGGAAGTTTTAGCAGCTGTGTTACATGGAAAAGAACCACAGAGTGCAGGGGTCTAGTATTCCTATTTTCTAAGTAAATAACAAAGGTTATCAGTCAGCTGGTGCGCTGGGATGAAAGGGGTGCAGTCAGGGGTCTTAGGCGGTTTTGACAAGTTCCAAAGGTAATAATCCACGGGGTTTCCAATGGTAAGTAACAGCAAGTGTTTTTACCAGAGAATATCAAGAGTCCACACAGAATTTCATAACAGTTGAATATTTTTCCAGCCAAAACAGCAATTAGCATTCTCCACTGCAAGGTCATTGTTACCTGAGTTGGAAATTAACTAAAATCTGAAAAATCTGTCCTGTTACCAAAGTGTGCCATGTAAACTGAAATGAGCTAAATTGTACTCTAATGCTTTTCTAAATGTCGGAGAGAGAAACTGTTTAGAATATGTTAGGGGATATTTTAAATTCACTAATTCTTATGTATGTATTCAAAATTCTACCAAAACAGGACTGTTCTATTGGGTGGCTTACAAGCCTGACATTCTGTGGTAGGAGAAAAAAATTGAGTATCAAGTCAGATTTTATTCAAAGGGGAGAAAGGAAGAAAAGATTTGTCCCCAGGGTGGGGAGAAGGGGAGATAAAAATTAAGTGGATATAAAATAATTTCAGATTTGGTAAGTCTGAGCTGTATCAGAATTGCTATGGGAAGTGGGTTTTTTTCCCTGGTTATATTTTTGGTAGATTTTTATCAAAATTTTTTTGAGAATAAAATTACGTTGATCATTTTCTAAAAACTCAGAGCAGTAATTTTAAAAGCAATAATTTACTACTGCTAAATTTATTTAGCAATATTCTCTCTTAAGCCATGAAACATCAAGTCATTATTAGTGATGTAACTCTCACTTCAAAGCCAATGATCATGGAAATATTAAAAGGTTAACAGCAAAGCTCTGTAGGTATGTAGGCAATAACACCAAGGGTGACTTCTTAGCAATAATGAAATGTATCACCTCCAGATTTAATTCATCATAGATACATATTAATAATATTCAGGTAACTACTATCTGCTTTACATTCCTTAGTGTGCACCATTTGGGTATGTTATTTAAACAAGACTCAACCAAGTGTCTCAAAGAGGCAAAGCTGTATGTAAGGAACTGCAAACACACCCCCAGTGTAAACTGTAGAAATGTGGAGTAACCACAGTTCATTGCCAGTGGTATTATGCAGATGTGACATAGGCAATAGCAGAGAAGCCATTTGTAGTAGATGGATACTTGTAGATCTCCCATGTTTCATCTGTTGAAGCCAAAAAACATACTCTTGGTCCCATGGTATAATTCAGTCTTGTTTGGGTTCATGAAGGCTGGGTGGAGAACCACAGAAGATGTAATTTGTTAGGTGCTGAATGAACCCCCATCACAGGAGTTATATAGCTTTATTCCCAGCAGCCCTGATTCTGCTAAGCACCAGTGCTTGTTCAAACACTTGATGGAGACTATAGGGATGCATACATAATTTTCACTAGCATGTGCTTTTGTCCTTTGCTCAGCAATGATCGACATCAGTGTGTGCTTAAGTGCCTTGCTGAAATGGGGCCTAAAGGAATTACTGCATCTCTTTTTGTCTACAAATTAGTCTCCTTTATGGGAAGCTCTGTCTGGGGAAGGAAACTTGGAGATGTCCACATTGGTCACTAGAAAAAAAGCCATCAATGAAGAAAAGCATTAGTTCTTTACAATTCTGGTGCTTATATGTCCAAACTGAAGTAGCAACCACCAAGCAGGAATAGCATCCTTTGTTTTGCTTTGTGCCAGGGGTTTGGTGCTGTCAAGCTGATATGGTACAATAACGCATGTACTCTTGAATCAAAGATTATAGTGATGATGTTCTGAGGCTGTCTTAAGGGAAACAAATTTTATTTTCTGATTCTAGAAGTTATGATACCCTTCTCTTCAAGTGTATTCCCCTTTATTTGAACATTTTGTTCAACTTAAAAATGATAAATGCTTTTCTTATTTTGCCATTGATCTTTGAAATCTACTTCTGTTTAAAATGTTACTGAATGTAGTACTTGAGCAACAATTTTCACTAAATTCACTGAGGTTCGCAGTTGTAAGCATGATTGCCACCACTGCAGAGATGAAAGGAAATTGGGAAGGAAATGAAGGAAATTGGGAAGCAAGAGATCTATGACAGATGTTCCAAGGTATTTAAGCACTAAAGGGGCAATCAGAGACCCTACGCCAGAAATGGCATCATCCTGAAGGGCAGCTGGACACCTTGGTATTTTTGAAAATATGCCCGAGAGCCTATTTATATCTTAAGTGCCTGAATCCCCAAAGAAATTCTGTCCCAAATGGCTTACTTAAGTCATGTATGAACTGGGTGAGAAGAGCAGCAGAAGCATTTTAACTATCAGTGGCTGCTCAGAGCACTAGCTGCAAGAAATAGCATTGAGAAGGTGCAGAGGAAAGTTGCTGCAAAACATTCCTGCTTTATTTTCAGGTGGAGTACTTCTGGATAGAATGAGGAACAAAAAAAAAGAAAAAGGTCAGAATGGTTCTTAAAAGACCCTTTGTCAATTTTCTTTTGCATTGCTGAGTTTGAATGAGAATGAGGTATTGATTTATTACGAGCTGTTGCAAGCTTATATACATTTTCAGTCCAAAATTTTGGGGAATTTTTGAAAAGAGTATTCGGATACTGACTTGGTAACTGGAGTTTTGAGTTTTGACTATATTCCATTAAAATGTAATATAGCTTTAGAGAGTTCAGATATTTGAATTGGTCATACACTGATTTGTGGGAATTGCATTGTGGTTGATGATGCCCCCTTATTATCTAGAATTCCGTGGCATAGATTCAGGAATCTTAGCAAGCTTGCATTATATGAAACGGAGCTTAAATTGGAGTGCAAGTGCGGTAATGTTTTTGTTTTAAAAACAACAAAAGCTACAGAAAGCCTGATCAGGTTTTCCAAACCCTAATGCACTGATGATTTTCCTTTGGAAATCCCCAGTTCCTGCACAGCACTGGCCACCGAAGGTGACACGAGATAGATGATCATGTGACTATGTCCTTCTTCCAAACTTATAACCAATTTGGTTTTATCTTCATATATATTGCTTTACCATCAAAATTTGGGCTAATGATACTGAAGAAATGAGACCTGCTGCAGTGCCTTTAGGGAGTTTTCTAAAGTAGTGCTACTTAACTAATTCGGATTGTATTATAAATTTGTCAGTGAGCACCAGTGGTTTCTTTTCCAATTCTTTTCCATATTTTCTCATGAAAAGTGTACTAGTAGCAAATTTTAGAACTGCCTGATAAAGTCACTTTCAGTAAATCTCCCAAATTTTTTGTTAAAGAAAAAATTTGTTTTGAGTATCCTGAAATTATTGTGAAATGTAATTGAAATATTTTAATTCAAAATATCTTCAATAAGCAGTGTTAGCTTATTTATATTAAAAACTTTATAGTATTTCAAAGGATCAAAAATTTCTTTTGCTTCAGACCTGTTTATACTTCTTCATGCTTATTGAGATGTTAAAATTTTGTGTGAATTCAAACATGCAAAACCAACCAAGCAAATAAGGCATTTTGCAACAAACTTTGTGCTTCCAGGGAGAGCAATACAAAAGAACACCTGCAGGGAAGAATTAGAGTTTTCTTTTCATAGTCTGGCAAAAAAAAATCTGAGTTAATTGTTCATTCTATGTTTAGTCTTTTTTTTTCTTTGCTTCTGTATGTGTTTGTAGGACAGAGAGGGTGCATACAGGGATGTGATTTTCAGGACTTCTGTTCTACTCATACTCAGTGTGGATAAAGAGAGTAGTTGTAATTTAACCACACATCTTCAAGAATCTGATGGTTGTGCTTATTTGAACTTCCACCACTTTACAAAGGACAGAGTTAACAAATTGCAAGTTCAAGGTTATCTTTTTCACACACACAAAGAAAATCATTGTGCAGTGGGTTTGAATATTATACAAATATGTAATGTCCTAATTAGTAAGATGCTTGGGGGAGGCAGGGGAATGGTGAATGTGTCATCTTCACTGATGAGCTGGAAAACAGACCTGTCCAGTGGAATTTAGTGGAATCCTCTTGGTATATTAGGAACTTGCCAGTGTGGCCTGATTTTTTTTTTCTCTTTTTTGTTGTTGGTTTGGTTTTTTTTAATTAACTATTGATTGCAAGAGGTGAAATGTTTAACATAATGCATGTTCAGGCTCATTGACCCATGGCAAGTTTGAATTTTAAAGAGGGTTTGATTTGACAAAAGAATGTTGAAAAACTTCAGTTGAGGCTAATGGTGCCTTTTTATTTGAGTGAAAAGCTGAAAAGCAAATATTGAAGGAAGACACGGTCAATTTGGGAAATAAATGTATCCCTACTATGCTTGTCATTTCAGACAGGTCTTTTTTGCTAATTTTCACTGAACAGGGCCATTCTTGTCTTCTGGAAAGCAAGATATTCATAATGTAAATAGTTGTATTGATTTATTTTTTCCCTTCCTCTGTAACTAATATGTAATAATCCAATATGCTATTTCTGTTAAAATCTTTTACAATCAGGCCACCGTATGCCTAAATATGGTTGACCTCTGACTTTCTCCTAAGTCAGTCACCTGCTGATAAAGGAGGGTGCTGGAAGTTTCAGTGTACATATAGAATCATGTATGTTTAGTAAATTGGGTAAGTGGGACTTATGGCCAGTATACATTAAGCCACAACAGTAACAAAGCTCCAGATCTTAACTAGCAAAAACAACTGTTCACCTTGCCATGTCCATCCTATAATAAGATCTAAGTTGCACCTGCCTGTAGTTCTGCATGATCAGACTTCAAAGTATAACTAACAAGATCTGTAATGTATCAGTGTTGATAAATGTAGTTGTAAAAAAAAAAAAAAAAGAAAAAAAAAGAAAAGAAAAGAAAAAAAAGAAAAAAAAAGAAAAAAGCCCTTGACTAACAAAAGAAGATCAACAAAAGCTCAGTATCAAGACTGGAAGAGGAGACATGTCTGATTTTGCTGCACGGTTATAGCTGAAAAGAACAACCGATGTCAGCTTAAATGGACTACCGTAAGACATTTGTTAAGGAACCAACATTATTTACATATTGTTTTGTTCTTACCCTGTTTACTTTGACCATCTGTTGTTCCCTGTTCCACAGGGGACAACAGGGCCTCAGTGATCAGTGTTTTATGGGTCAGTGTCACATTAATGATTTCCAATTTCTGTTTGTTTAGCAATTACTAAACTAAGATGGGACTCCCATGTTCTCCCATGTGTCAAAAGGAATCCTGTCAGAGCTTCCTCACGAGGATACTCTTCTCACTGCTGTCATGACTCCTGTCAGTTGAATGACTTTGCAATGTTTCCAGTAAACAGCACAACGCAGCAAATATAATGACTGAGGGCTTAATTGTGGATGTGCTGTGGATCTGTACTTTCACTGGGGCTCAAAGTCATGCAGGGACAGGACTCAGTTGAAATATGGTATGTGCTCTATGCATGACGCCTATATTACACCTTTATGACCTTATAGTGGCTAAACTGCTGATCTTTACGGATGTGGATTTGGACCATCTCTTTTTTTTGGAGGAAAATCATAGTGAACCTCCGTCCTTATCCCACAAACCACTTGCTCCTAACCAGAGCAGCTAAATGGAAGATAAAATGGTGCAAGGGCCTTCCGGGGGCCATGCACAGGGGTGAATTTCATGCTGTTTGAATGTGATCTTGCCAAAAAGCCTGTGTATCTAGCAGGGGAGACTGTGACTGTCTTATAAGGAGTGTTTGTGTTGTTTACTTTAAAACAAGCTTTGCTAATTAAAGTAGTGTATTCTGGAGTCCTATTTGAATGGCATGAAGGGTATCAATGAAGAAGATACAAAGTATGCTCCTACAGCTCTCCTGGTTTCTTGTTTCTTTTCTTTCAACCCTCTCTAGGGGACACAGATAAAGCTGTAAACATGTGGACGTTGCCAGGATTACTAAATTCAGTAATTCAGCTCCTTCTGATGGGTTTCATTTAAGAAGCATTTATAGCACTACATAAATATAAAGGTATCTTAAGATACACAAGATTGAGACTTTTTGTCTTTAAGAAGCTTTAGAGTCTATTCATCTGCTTGACTGAGTAAAAAATATTGGGAATGGGGGGAGAATGACCACATGACTGGACAGAATGAAGGAAGTCTGTCAAGTAAAAGCTAGTCCTTCTACCACCTCTACCTCCACTAAAAATTATTAAACAAAATCAACAAACCCAATAAAAAACCAAACAAAAAATCATAACCCCCAAACCATCATGCAAACTGCAGAGTTACTATATGGAGACTCATTTTTTATGAAGTTGAACACACTTCACTCTAGGTGAAAAAAGAACAAATAGGAGAGAGATGCTGTCTTCGGGGAGACATTTCTGTTTTTTTCAATTCCTGCACAAGCTATCTAGGTCCATAATATTTCCCAGCAAGTCAAAGCGTAATACACAAAGGACATTTTTATATTTGGATTTATCATGTTTAGGGATGAAAATTAAAATCACAATCAGCCTTCTGTCGAAACAATTTGAAGGGAAGGACCCTGTAGAAAAGAATGAATTAAAGCACTTGTAAGCTTTGTAAAGAAAGAAATTCTTAGAGTTGTTGGTACTTAAATGTAATTTTAAGCATACTAAGCCCAGCTGACTTGCTAAAAAAAAGCGAGTTTTGCTTAGCTCTGACTTGATTAAAAAAAAGACAATTTTTGAGGTCTATTCTTCTCCCAGCTTGTATATCCAGAGATTGACCAAACTACAACATATAATAGAAATCTCTGATTTACAGTAGCTAGGGAATTTTGGCTTTGTGGTTCTTGGTTCAAAATGGGGGGACCCACTTCTTATAGGGACTGGTTTTTTAGTTTTATAGCACACCTTTTGAGACAGCTGAAGAGTCTGTAGCAGTTATTAATATAATAAATAATAAGTCCCATGGGGACCATAGCGACACCAACGTGGTGTGTAACGAGAGAGAGAGTTTATTCAAGGAGTCCCAGCTTATATAGCAGTTTCAAATGCTGCCACGTCACACAGCTAACTTCTTAAGCCAATCTCATATAAGCATTCAACAGAGCATGTGTAACAGAGTACTTAGAACTACAACTCCCAGGATGCTTTGCAGCACCTGGTGTAACCAGACCCCACAATTCCCCCATTTTTATTAATAACAAGATACAAAACAGTGTAAATTCAAAAAACAGTGCAATTCTTAACAAAACGTTTTTCACTTGACATAGTAAACTTATTTCTTGATTAAACCTTATTTACTTAAGGGTTTTTTGCAATTGGGTAGAACAAAAACCTTTATCAATCTGAGGGTTTATATATAATTGGGGAAAATTTACTTTATTAAAACACAAGGAAAAGTTTAAAGGAGGAACATCATGTTTTGAGTTGTCTTTTATTAAGGCGATGTATTAGAGGTAGTGTTTGTTGTGTGTGTTCGTTTCAGATATTTTGTATAAGGTGTAAATGGTTCACATAGATTCATACACTCACACAATTTCTCTTTCACTCATTTGGGTGGCCACCCCAATCATTTTTCATTCATGCAATCTTTGTTTTCATATTCTAGCTATACCACTTAAACTTTTATGTAGTGTTTGGTCAGAATGAAAGTTGTTTGGCTCAGGATTTACTTACTTATTTACATGCATATTCTCACTGTCCTATTCCCCTTCTTTTGTTGTGAATATGGAAAGCTAATGAATTTAAAGGTATAATACTGGTAAGTAGTGTGTATATTCTTGAGTGTGTACTTAAGAGAAATGAATACGTAGGTTATTATTATAATCTGATAATTAATAACAATAGAAATTCTTAAAGATGCTAATTATTACTTAAACGAGATAGTTATAAACTTAAACTTATTTAGATACATTTAAGAAATTAATAATTTTAAACAATACTTAGTAAATGTGACTATTAGTAATTTAAACAAAGGTACAGGGAAATTAGAAACTTAAAAATGTATTAATAAGGGAATGTTGAATTTTTCTCTTATTAGTGTAAATAGAAAACTAAAGACAGTTAACTAAACTATTTTAGACAAAAACATTTGTAATAATTTCTAAAGGCTTATATGTAAAACATGTAAAAACAGTCAGTATCATAGTGTCTGTATAGTTTTGGTCCCAGCCCGGGTCTTTGCCCGGGCCGCCGCCGCCTCTCTCACGGGAGTGGGGAGGCGGCATTGTCACTGTTGAGGCTCCCGGAGGAGCCGGAGTGGCTGCGGCCATGGCCCGGCTCTTTCACGGTGGGGGCCATGCCGCTGGTCATCGGCGCCGGGCCTTGGCTCGGCGCCGCGCTGTGCCGCATGTGCGGCTGTCCCGGGCCGCGCTGCTGCGGCTGCGTGGTCCGCGTCAGGGGAGCGGCGGCACGGGCGGGCTGGCTCGTGTAGTGGGACGCGGCCGTCAGCTCTAGGTATGGCCCGGCCCGGCCCGGCCGTCACTACGGGCTGCCTGCGCTCCAGGTGCAGGCGGGCGGCGAAGGCCTCGCAGCTCCGCGCCGCCGACACGTGCTTGCCGAAGCTGCCACGCCGCCCCAGCTGCATTTACAAACTTGTGTCACAGTCCCGGCTTAAGCCTGTTCGGCCGCTCGGGATGGCCACGGGGCCGCCCCGCAGCTTCTCCTCAGGCACGGCGGCCACCCCCCCGGCCCGGGGTTCCACGCGGAGCTCCGCCGAGAGCTCTACGCGGGTCGGGGGCACGGCGGGAGTCGCCGCCAGCTGCGGCGGGGCTTCCGTGCTCGGGTCACCGCTTCCCGTTCAGCCGCGCCTCGGCCCGCTTGCGGCCTCCGGGTAGAGGCGTCCCGCGGCGGTGCCGCTCCGGCAGTCCGGTCCCCTTCTCGCTGTGCGCCAGGCCCGCCGCTCCGGTGGTGTCGCCGCCGCTGCCATCTGGGTTTGCGCAGGAATCGCCGCCGCAGCCTGGTCGACACCAGCCGCTACCGTCCCGGAGCCGCCCGGCTTGGGGGGGCCGGAGTCGCCGCCCGCCGCCGCAGTCCTGCGGAGCCGTGCGCAGCTCCGTCCCCGGCCTGACTCGCTGCGGCTGCCGAGCGTCCTGACAGCCTCGTGCCCCGCGCTCTGTGCCCGCCGCCGGCCTCGCCGCTCGCAACGTCGAGCGGCTATCACGTATCTTTTTTAAACATCGCGCCGCTGTTGCTGATAGGCATAGCAGTTGTTGCTTAGCTACCGGTTCCCAGCATGGACCATGTTCCATGCATGCCTCCAGCAGAAGCAGTCTACAACATAGCCACGAGACAGGAAGAGAAGGCACTACCTCCTGCTCTCGGCATGGGCAAGATGGAGCCGCCCATGCTCCGGCGTGGTCTCCACGTGTCTGCAGGTTTTTAATGGCTTGGGGATTCAAAGTTTGTTCCCATTTTACCAGTCATACAATCCGCGACACGCGCCTTCTTCCCGGAATTCACGCATCCGCGAAAATTCAGCACAAAAAGGTATATTCTAAGGCTTTTCTTCCGTGCTCTCGGACCCCCTCCCCCTTTCCAGACTGCAGTAGCACGTGGAGTTCCATGCTTTACAATGTTTGGGGGAGGGGAAGATCCAAAGTTTCTCTCTGTGGACGAGTTCTCTTGCGAGGGTTTTAAAGTGTCCACCTTTTTTACTTCTGTTTTTTCTCTGTTTCTTCACTCCTCTTTCTAAGCAATTTTACTAAGAATTGTAAATAACAGCAGTCCCAAAACAGTTATTTTCATCAGTTTTAAAAGTCCAGCTATTTTATGTTTGTTAACTTGTCTCCAAAGTTTTTTCAATATTAAGCTTAAGGCTTTTGCAATATTCTGCGGTTCACGTGAATTAAGAATTTTCATTTTTTCTCTTTTTCTTTTTTCTCCTGCCCTCTCACCTGGGACGTAGATTTTTCTTCTCGAGAGCGTCCTCTCAAAACGTAGGCAATTTCCTACCGAATTCAGGTCTTTTTTCGAGCTCAATCGCGGTTTCTCCCGCCTACGCCCATCAGAGTTTCCTTTCCTCTGGTACCTGGCGTTTATTTCTTTTTCACGGCGGACGTCCCTCAGCGTTAAATATAGGCTGGTACCTGACGTCTGGTCCGTATTTCTTCCTGATTCAGGATAAGGCTTAGGTCCCTGTTCCGGGCGCCATATGTAGCAGTTATTAATATAATAAATAATAAGTCCCATGGGGACCATAGTGACACCAACGTGGTGTGTAACAAGAGGTCTTTTTTATTCAAGGAGTCCCAGCTTATATAGCAGTTTCAAATGTTGCCACATCACACAGGTAATTTCTTAAGCCAATCCCATACAAGCATTCAACAGAGCATGTGTGACAGAGTACTTAGAACTACAACTCCCAGGATGCTTTGCAGCACCTGGTGTAACCAGACCCCACAAGAGTCCTCTTTTTTGAGAGGTTAGTCCTTTTCAGGAGTCAAAATTTTTACTACCATGTTCCAGTGATCTATGTCACTGCACACGTGGTGCACATAATTTAAGCCAGATCTCAAGCTGTATCTATGATTTAGTTTCACATAACCCAGAGTCCTAAATTCCAGAAAATCTGAAGTTGTATATGAACAGGAATGTTTCCTGTAATGCTCCTTGGTATTCAAGGGAAGTGCCTTTCATAGCTTCAGAGCAGCCTTGGAATTTTTCATCAGTCAGCTTGTGTGTTGGCCTGAACATCTCCTGTGTGGTGAGAGGCTGTACGTGTCAGACGTTGATGAGCTGTAGGAGATCAATGGACTCGTCTGTGCGGAAGGAGATCTGAGTGCCTCTGTAAAACTCCCTCTCTGCTGGAGGCAAACAAAGGGGATGAAGGTCAGTGAACAACCTTGTGCTCAAGCTGATGAACATTTACTGTGGTGCTGTGAGGCCTATTTGGATG